TCACTCAAATTGACTGCCGTGTTGGTCGGTGGTTCAAGCCCTAGCCTGAACGATCGATTTTCACTTGCTATCGTCCAACCCGAGTTAGGAATCACAAGTTAAAAGGTAAGCCTTCGTTAATCCTTAGCTCTCCAAGTTTCGACTTCTGAAGGTTGTCGTTCATAGGGGTGCAACAGTTGGTTAACGGAAAAATTTTTTTTTTAAACAGATACCGTCAATAGACACACCGCACCCATCAATAGGACTAATTTGGCTTTTTCCATAGGAAGAAAATATTACATTATTTTTGATTGTGAGTTTAAAGGCCATGGTAGAGGGGTTAGTCTTAGTCTTAGTCTTAGTCTTAGTGATATTCCTCAGTTTACTTCGAGAGAGCGTCGAATAAAAATGTTTACAACATGGAAGCTAGTTGTTCAGGAACCGTGAAGCGTCCGACGCCTATTGATACTTTATTCAACGCAATATGATAAACAGCGTCGGCTGTTTCTTTTTGAAGTTCTTTGTCGCAACTAACTATTTTAATGGCTCATTAGCAGCGTCGTCAAGGGGCATATCGGGTAGAAATATCTCAGTGACTTTGTGGATGAATTCCAGTGCCACTTGCTTGAGATGACTATGTTGCTTTCTTTGATGTTCCGGCATGTTTGCATTTTGGAAATTCTTTCACCCTCACAAATTATCGAATGTACTATATATCAAACAAAACCAACATGAACCTTCATCTTGACAATAAATCCTATCATCTAAGAGACATTATAAGAAGAAACCATTGAAAAAATTGTTCTGGCTTAACACCACGATAGAACACTGTTGCTATCAGGTAAGAGAAAACATATCTTGTCACTTTTTTCAATGTAATTGTAAACAAAAACATTCATTATTTTATGGTATTGCTACTTTCGTCGGCAGTTTCACAACTGTTCAGATTGAATAGACGATGACAACTCCTACGAAGACGCCATCTATAGGATCGACAGAAGACTTAATCCACGAATATAAATTATAAACGAATCTCAATGGCGGACTACTGTAAAACTGAGCTATGACCGCCGAATGAGATTCGTCATCTATCGTTCATTGCAGTGAAAGCTGCAACAGACGCCTTTAAGATTCCCGTTTAGTATTGATATTCTTAGGTAGTCTTCTTCTGTCAATCGTATAGATGACGGATTCGTGAGGAGAAATGTCATCACATACCATCAAGGACAGTTGAATTAATAATGTATACGACACATTTTTCAATATCAGTTTATATCAGTTAGACCAAATATTGAACAGTATTGAAAGTTCCTTCACCATTTTATATCATTCGAAATGGAGGCAGTAGAGCCAAAAAAAACGAAATTCGACAGTTCTAGTTTTTGGAGAACATTTCAGAAACAATCACTGATATTTCCGATCTGAAAATAGATTATCCCAGTTCACCAAAAGGAAAAACTTTTGTCCAATTCAACCGACCTTGTAGATCTTACCGTTTATGACACATGAGTATAGTTTAGGATACATTCGAATGCCTACATTCCAGAAACATTTCAAAATTTCAATTCAATTTTCTTGATGGACTTGATAGTTGAATCAACTAGAAAAACGTTTCCTCCCACATCACACCGGAACAAAAGTAGTTACTTCTAGTCATCTACTGATGATGCTAACTTGGTTAGCAAAACACGTGTTCCTCCCTGTGGATGATCTCAGCTTGGGATCAGTAGATGTTATATTTATGGGGAATAGTAGAGCATGTTTGGACCATCACATAATATCAAGTGGTCCCAAGTTGTGATCATGCACAGGAAGGAATGCTGGCTTACGAGAAAATTCAAAGAAGCTGCATACATGTTGTCCAACGATGCATTCAGCCAAGTTAGCGTAGAGATACGCAACATATGGAAACACATAATAAAGCGAAAAACGTTCGCGGTAGCGCTCTCACTATTGATTATATATCATCATCATGTCAAATTATTTTTCGGCTGCATTTCAAAAATACTCTGGTTTCATTTATATACAGTATGACAAACTCAAGATGAAGACACTCCCATATTTAAGTCATGTTTGAAAGCAGATATTTGATTTTTGGTACAGGCATAGACCTTCATGAGCCGCATGCTTTGCAATACTTAGCCCGAGTGACAGCCGCAAACCCAGCCTACTACGTTCCTGCGAAAAAGGCAAATATTGTGCTTCGCGGTGATGATACCGAAATAAGTTATTTGAAAAAGTTGTTGTTTCCTTACTTTTCAGCAATATTATGAAGGACATACACTTTTTCAAATGTTTTTGTCGGTAAAACTTCAAGTAGTTGGTTTTTGGTATAGTAATCTTCAAAATACAATGATAGGAAGAATTGTCAAGACCTATTACACCATTCGCATCCAAATTTGGGATCAATGTGTTTTCAAACCATTTCTCGAATATATTAGCTTCCATGTTCTTATGATAGTCAATATTGTAGTTCTCAAGTTTTTTCTACATAATTTCAAAGAATTCGGAACCCATCCTTCACTTCCTCCGCAATGTGCAATGATTAGTCGCGATCCTTTGTTTGTAGGCATGTTAGGCGTACACATTTTCGAACCATTAGTCCACCCTTTCTCAACTGTGTCGTGAGTGTCATACCAAGATTCGCCTAAATAGAAAATTTGCCGTTGTTCATGTCTATATTTAGTTACTTGTTCTAAGTATTCGTTACGCAATTCCTAGTTTCTTTAACTAATTCTTAAGAGTTTTGTTACAGCAGCTCACGTTATGGCCGGAAGTATTGAATTTCTTCCTTATGATTTCAGTTGTAGGAATTGCTTTTGTAATAGTCGTATATTGTTTTTTCAATGATTTTATTAGATAAACATCTAAAGGTATCTGTATCTGTAGAGTAGGGAGAGTGAGTGTAAGCCCACAGCACTTAGGCAACATGTGACCTACTGTACAACCTCCCGAGGAGTTATCCTCCTAAGTCATCATCCATCCTATCCTTTCCAGGAAGGGGAGACATATCCTTTATAGTGGCAGGTGTAGGCCAAGACTCGCCGAACACACACTCTCTCATTGACGATAACTCCGGGCACTCGCATAGGACATGCCTGACAGTCTAATGTTCGACATATAAACAAAATCTAAAGGTTTTGATAATCCTGTAAACATCGCGTCTTGCATTCATAAGATTTGTTTTTGACTATTTTACGTACAGTTGAGAAAGGAATTTCCGTCATGTTGCTTGTGATAGTTTGTTTCCCTCGAAACCAAACTTGAGATTTCGATTCTAATATACATTGAAACATACTCTCTGTGTTTCAATATTCAAATGCATCCGAATCGTATTCACTGATATCTCTTTTTCGCATTGTTCACCATCGCTATTGGAATTGGAATCAACTCACTGGAAAAACTTTGCGTGGTTGTCACACTCGTTTAAATTCGAAACCCATCCTTCACTTCCTCCGTAATGTACAATGATTAGTCGCGATCCTTTGTTTGCATGCATGTTAGGCGTACACATTTTCGAACAATTAGTCCATAGAAGGTTCATTTCCATGTATTGGTTTTTTGGCCTTTGAGAGTGCCGCCAACTTCAAGTGTGCACAATATCGTTTACTTCGACTATACAAATGAAAGTGGTGAAAAACATTAATTTTCTTTTCTCATAAAATTAATGATGAAATAAAAGTTATTGGTCTTTTCATTGGTGCTCGAGGAAGAATTTTCAAATTTTTTGTTAACTGTAGCAAACAGTTGAAAATTTCTATGAAAACCGTAAAATTTATTTCTCTTGGAACCTTGAAATATAAAATATAATTCACATTGAGTGGTTATTTTTTATTATTGTTATAATTTATACTAATGTATTTTCTATTTACTATTTTTTACTATTGTAATAGGTACTATGGTATTTCTTGATTTTTTACAAACCACATTCGTTGGTAGGATATCGCAGGATATATAGATAGATATATTGAAAAATTGCACTTTTCGCGGGATCGCAGTAGGCTGGATTTGAGGCTGTCACTCGGGCTAAGTATTGTGAAAAGTGCGGTCCAGGAAGACCTACCCCTGTCCCAAAAATCAAATCTCTGCTTCCGAAAAGGATCACAATATCTTTATCTTAAGTGTGTCACACTGTATGTGGATGGAAAACTAATAGTTTTTTCTTGAAATTTCATTTTTTTTATAGAACATCGCTTTACTCACACCAACGTATATTTCTTTTCGTTTTACTTCAAGAAGCATTCTGTCAAAAGTGATGTTTAGACTTCCTCAGTTCATCTAAGATTTTATATGGAGTTTATTTTAGTTTCCTGTCAACTCCATCCCACCCCATTGAGTTCAATCACACTTTTCAATTCAGAATAACTTATTCCATTAGCTTTACTGATGAAATTGTAGTAACAACCTGGTAGGTCCGTCCATCATTGTTCTTCAATAAAATAGTGGCAAATAATTGAAATAATATCATTAACCACAAAATTTGTGTGTCTACACTGAACTCACGAACTCCACATATTTGCAGTGAGCAAATATTTATTCAATTTTGACAGGTACCTAGAAGGGCAAAGCTCAGCGAGTTGTAGCTTGATCTGAGTTAATGGAATGAAGAAGTATCATATACGAATGTACTGTTCTATCAAATTTTATATGGGGTTGTACGAGAGGATGATAAACACGACATTTTCCCACTCAGATGAACAAAAAAAGATAAAAAGCAAATAATGACCGAAATACGTTCAGATACTTTGTATGGTTCAAATAACCATCAGTATTAAATGACTGAAAGTATTTATGATGATGCAAGTTTATTTCTTCAAAGTTCTACTATGAATGAGTAAAGAAGACATCAAAACTTAAAATTCCTAAACAGCCAATATTACTGGTGTACATGCTGATTATGCAAAATCTACCTAATTGCAAACAATCTACCAAGTTTGAGATGATAATATGATAATTATATGATCGGATTAACTAATTAAAGCTCATTCCACCAGCACCAGTAAAGTAATTTTGAAATATACTTACTAAAACTGGCAGCGGTTTTATCCGGAATAACTAGTAAAACAAAACAAAATTAATGAAATTGCCACAATTTCAGTCCGAAGTCATAGAATATATTATTTTGAATGGAATATGCAATATTACTGAAATTAACAGAATATCTCAAAGAGAATAGAACTATATACAACTCCAGTAAAAACCTCTGAGTTTCCTCTACGATTTCTCAGGATAATTATGATTTTTTGGAAACCAACCAATCTAAAATATTTTCTTAGTCACATTTTAAATATTAAAGTTGTCATTGACATAAGGAAATATTTGTAATGTAGAATACATATGATATGTTTGTTTCTAGAGAATTTGTATTTATCAGTTTTATTATGAACAATAATTTCGTAAAAGTAAATAGTGAAATTTTATCTACTGATACATTACGGTTTACATGTTTTTTGGCCATACATTATGGGATGTTGAATCTATACATAGATCTAAACAATATCCTAATAACTTTTGATATATCTATCGAGGAAATGGATACTATGAAATTGGTCTTGATCAATGAAATCAATAAACCGTATTCAAAAAAACACTCAAAAGTGAGGTTTTTACTTGAAAGTTCACAAAATCGCGACACGTATTTCGCTATAGGATAAAATCTTCGGGCGTCACAATACTGTTCCTTTTGAAATGCTTAGAAATCAATAGGTTCAAGATTTCGGGATTATTGCTCAATGATCAAATAGTTTGCAGTGAGGAATATGGTAATTAGGATAGATTTCGAAAGTAGGTGAAATGATGTATCAGGTAAAAAATGTATTTATCATTCTACAGTATTATGACTCCTTCCTAGAAATAAAAATAATTTAGGTGATGAATTAATTATGCTTTTATGGTAATTTGAATCATAATGACTTCGTGACAAATTTTGACATGATAAATTCATCACCTGAACTATTTACCTCTTTATGAACAACTCATAAAAGTGGAGAATAATTAATACAGTTTTCACCTAAGAGATCATTTTACCTAATTTCAAGATCTATCCTAAATACTAATTTCCTCAATAATCCTTAATTTTCAAATCTATTGATTTCTAAGCGTGTTGAGAATGTAGAGTTTCAAACCTATCTCTTCCAAATGCCATACGTCATAATTGTGATTGAACTCGTGTCTTTCTGTCAGAAGATGGTTCGCAAATGTTGAATTGGTCTTCCCATTAAAAAAACTACTTCAATCCCTTTTATTCTTTTCGGAAAAATTCTTCCGGTTTGACCAATATACAATCATGTCGCGGTGTAAATTTCCAATTGGAGATCTCACATTTTAAGTGTTATTTTAAATACGTTATAATGGATTTTTATCAAGTTCTATCATATTTTTTAAAGCAATAGGTGGTTCAATGACATTTTGTCTATGTTGAATACATCAAAACATGCAGTTTATGGAGATCTATGATTGTACTATTTTTTTGAATCTGAAAATGGAAAAAAAAACAATTCTGTATTCATTTTCGGTAAAACACATTATATGTAAATAGTGATTGGACGAACACTAAGTCAGACATATGGTTATCACTCGCTGCTGAGACTTGGAGATATAACCTTCGTCCTCGCAGTCAACGCACATACCGCTGATGATGTCTGCTATAATAGCAGAAAAAACGTTTGGTATTTCAGGTTTCATTCGACCACGACCTACTAGGCTACATTTCGGTATCTTTAATCATGACTCCGGCTTATGTTTTTATGTGGACCAACACTAATTCTTTCAACACTAAATGTACCATATCTTCAAGTAAATATTAAAGCGCGACGAATTAACAAAATCCGTGTTTGTCAGATTGTTAAAATAACGTAAATGTATACCAAAGTCAGCGTAAACATTTCCTCAAATTAGAAACCAATTTTAGGGGGTTTGTTGGGGGTTAAAACGGACTCCAATATGTCTTGGCACGATCATGTCGCTGGAATTGCAAAAACCGCTTCTCAAAAGCTTGAAACACTTTTGATGGTTAATAAAGCTCAGATCAGACCTTCTTTGGAGTATTGTTCACATGTGTGAGCTCTGCCCCTAATCATACCCCGAAGCTGCTGGATTCCATCCAGAAAAGAGCCATCCGCCTGATTGGAGACGCGAACATCACTCGCAAACTTGATAGTCTAGAACATCGAAGTAAGGTTGGACATGTGTTTCTCTTCTATAGATACTTTCACGGGAAGTGTTGAAGTGACTTGGCACATTTGATTCCACCAAGAACTCTTCCATATGGAGAACTGCGTTTATATGGAATGAACTTCCTGAGAACGTTTTTCCAAGTGGATATAATCTCCGGCGATTCAATTCCAATGTGAATCGCTACTTTCGCACAGGCACCGCTCTTAGAGCGCCTTAAGGATTTTTCTGCAGTGCTTGTGTTTTGTCTTCAAAAAAAGGGACGTGATATATAATTCACATAGTATCACTTTTTCTTTCAATTCATCAATAAAACTTCAATTCATGAAAGATAATATAGCTTTTGAAACCTCCATTGGATTCGCTAGAACGGATAGAAAACCGTTTTATAGGGAAATTAATACTGACTTGATTAAGTTTACATCTTCTTGATGAAAAAATACCACATTGGCAGGAAAATCATTCAATAAGTTGGTCACTTTCACATTAGTTTTGTCATTCGAAAATAAAATACATTCTCTTGCAATGAAGTGATTCTACAAATTTTTTTTATGTTAACTTTCTGACTTACTCGATTGATTGCACATACACACTGAGAGCCCTCTAGAACTGGTACCGACTCTGTAACAGTTTCACGTCAACGCAACGGTGCAATTCCGGTCATTTCGAGAGCAGACAAATTTATGGCGAGAATAAACTGGGACAAAAATTGCTCCCGTTTAATACGATCACCCCCGGCATATGAGGCTATCATAGTCTTTATTACATCGATCGTTCCACTGAATCATAAATTAAAATTTTATTTTCTATTATTAATTGAAGACGTATATTGGGAAATATTTCTCTGGTAATAGCTCGGCATTCTTGGATTATTATTTTCTTCAGTTGCTCTATTGAGTCAGGTTGCGTCTAAAAAACAATAGATTTCAGGTGGTCCCAGAGAAAGAAATCAAGAGGGAATACGTCCATTGATCTAGGAGGTCATTCAATAGGACCTCTCCTTCCAATCCATTGATTAGCATAATTATTATCTTACCATTGTCTAAGTGGAACTACATAACGAGGAGGTGTCCCATCCTGTTGAAAATGTAATGAATTTTCTTCCAAAGATAAATTCTCGTGTTTATCTCTCTGATTCTCTAACACATGATCTATCCGAGATCTATCGATAGATCTTTTTAGCATTAGAGCATACATTTCGTCATTTGAATTTCCTCCTATGAATAATGAACCAATAATTGCGTCTTCCAATATACCAGCCCAAACATTAACTTATTCGGCCGTACTGTTTCCCCCTCCCTATTATGAAAGTTGCTTTCAGCAATTTGTCATATTTCAAATTGTATTTTAATATCATTGTATAATTTTCAGTATTACGATTAATTTTCACTTATTAGAGAATTCGAGTTCAAAGCAACGCATATTCGACTTTTTTAATCTGATTAGATGAAAAATTGTTAATTTCATTGTCGCATATAACTATTTTTCGGTTTTTTTGGCTAAGGTTTTCAGGTTTTTATGCCTGGCGTTTCGTCTTCGACTACGGTAGTCGATACTTTATGATACATCGTTATAGCTAGGCCTCAACACAAAGCAAAATGTTATTGTTCTTGGATTCAGACATGTTATATAGAGAAATAAATATTGCACTTGATAATTAGAATATATAAAAGAGCTGATTAGATTCATAACAACATCCAGGAAAATATACCAAATTCTCAAAATCGCTCACACACACTATTGCAAAATCACAAATGATAACTGAGAATTCTTTTTTTCCTAAATTATTCGATTCACAATACAAAAATTTCAGAAATAAAATTGTGGTCGAGGAGAAAATTTCCAAAAGAAACTCCAGCAGTTTGATCTCTATATTTGATAGTTTTCAGTGGTTTTTGAAAATACAGTTGTAGCTAATCCCAATAAATATTACATTTCATACTATTAAATATTGATTTGAAAATTTGTATGACTTATTGTAACCTATAGTATTGGTATTTTAATAACGTAGTAGTGTTGACATACTTATTTTAAATTAATGGGTATTTTCGTTGAAAATTGAATGTTATGTTTCTTATTGCACTCAAGTAAAAAACAATCAATCATAAAAATTAGCATATTACTTCTATTAAGCGAACCTTTTTATACCTGACGAAAGCAAAATTAGATACAATAGATACAACGTCAAATCATCCATTGAATAACGCTGGACATCCCAATCGTGTCACTGGGCAATGGAATGTTACCATTTAAGACTCTACATAACTTTCTTGAGATGTCTTGCAAGTACAAAACGGAGACTATTAGGAATCGAATTTTGCAAGCTTAAGGACATTCTCATCAAGAAGATAAAATACGAATATTATTATATCATGCGTGGACTATCTTACGTTTTTTCTTTTCTAAAATAAAGAGAAATGTGCAAATTTCGCATTTCTTTTGTTTCAGTGTGGTGCGGTGTATACTTTTATTTAGAACACTACATCTTTTATTTGTGTTGTTTTCATTATTTAATAACACCCAGACTTCTGACAATCGCATCAATTGAAATCGAAATCATTCGTTTTTCTTAAAATGACTGTAGAAATTTTACTAAACGTCCTAGATATTTGTTTTTAATTTTTTTTTAGAAATCTTTTTTTTACTACTTGAGAGCCACCTGATTTGTCCATTTCTTTCAAGCTTCCGGAAAATACTGTAGTCTCATGGACCCATTACACCTATTTCAACATTCGTGTGCCCAGTCCAAGTTTGTACAGATCCTTTGCTCGATGAATGTCATATTAACTAATTTGGGTTGTCTACGAATTGTTTGCCTCCTGTGATCCAGTGCCTCATAAGAGGTCTCCGTTGTTCACTCCTATTTTATTCAGGTGTTCTCTCACTGGACAGTGTGCAGTGAGTAGCCTTATTCTGAGCCTACCCCTGCTTTCCCTGCTTTGTTGCGGCATTTTTTCGATTTTCTTCTCGGATAGTCTCTTTATGGAAGTTTCCCCGTGTGTGTCCCGGTTGTGTTTTTCCACTACACTTAATGTTTCTTATAGACCCATTCACCAATCTGGTTCCGTATCAAGAATTTTAACACCACAGCTTTTTCAGGGCCTATATATGGATTTTTTTTTCTGATTGATTCGGCCTACTTGATGAAGATCCATAGTGATTTCATAAAATACAACTCATGATTTCCACAAACTAGGTAAATGGGTCTATGAGAAACATGGAGTGTAGTGGAAAAACACACTCGGGACACACACGGGAAAACTTCCATATGGAGACCATCCGAGAAGTAAACTGAAAAACTGCTTCAACAAAGCAGGGAAAGCAGGAGTCGGCTCAGAATGAGGTTACTCACTGGACACTGTCCAGTGAGAGAACACCTGAACAAAATAGGACTGAACAACGGAGACCTACCTATATATGGAGTTGATGATTCGTATTTGGTACATTCATCAGCTTATTCGTTGCTTGAGTATCCTGACACCCAATATGTAGTCAATCTATTCCTGCCCTACACTTTCCTCAGTTCTGCAGGGTATTCTTAGACCAATCTCGATTTCAATTATGGGTTCGGAGGAACTTCAAGTGCAGCTTGGCGGCCTGTGAAAATATTGCTCCACTCATTTCGATGAGGCCAAAAAATAATGTTCCATACGCATTGCAAGATTGCATACACTTCAACCTGGGAAACTGATGTGTATTGACCGAGTAGGTGACTGAAATGAAGGTTCCTCCCGTCACAATAAATTCTGGCGCCCGTTCCATGTTCGGTTTTTGATCCGTCTGTATGCGAGGTGCCTCTGCCAAGCATATTCTCAAGGTGACTGTTCATTGTCCACTCTTCGCAGTTCAATAATGCAAACGCGAAGTTTGTGTTGAACATGTATTTTGATGTCATGTGACCCGAGAACATGTTTGATGCTCGTTCCTCCACATATTCCGAAATTTTTGTTTCGATCAATCCCAAGTAACTTACTGAGTTTTCCAGTCAAATTCATCAACCAAGTCTTTAAACGCTGCGTAATTTTTTGGTAGCGGTCATTTATTTTATATTTTTCCACCAGATACGTATGTTTTTGTTCCATGTTCGCATGTATGTTATTTCATGCCTGCCTATGCCTTTTCGTAGGTGCGTCTAGTCTGTCTATAGTCTGTCTCTGCTTTTCTTTCAACTCTGTCTATATATTGGTTCCCCTTTAGCCTGTAATCTAGTATGGCTCTCAGATATTCGGCCTCCTTTAACAAATTTATTTCTTCGCCTCAAAGTTTTGGAGGTCTCAGGCCCTTTATTCTGATCCTCTTGGTGAATAATACTATGGTCGATTTCTTTGGGATCATGTTCAGACCCTTCATCTAGTTATAATATTTCGGGTGTGCTGCATACATCCCTTCACTATTTCCCTGGACTTAGATGACTGAGGCAATAGCCCAGTATTTTGTGTCCATTGTGGTCCGGAAGACGTAGTAACTCGTCAATTACAAGATGAAATAACAGTGAGGACAACTCTCTACTGAGGATAACCCCTTGCTTTCTGAACTATTACTGTCTCTCCCATAATGTTTTGTATACCGATCTCTCCCAGAGCATGCAGTCTATCCAGTTAGCGTCGTCAATTCCTCTTTACTTTGACGCCTAAACAATTTATTATGGGGACGAATCATCAAATGCGCCCTCTATATCAGTTTCCGTCGATATACCTGATCTGTAGGCATATTGGTCTCGATGCAGAAATCTGGTAGTCAGTGATATATCCCTAATATACCTGTCAAGTAGTGTTTTTGGTATCTTCAATGTAGAAGACATGATACTGATTAGTTTCAAGGCCTTTATCGTGTACTGTTCAAATTTCCCAGGTGGCAGGTGGCCGGAATCAGTCTTTATGTTTTAGTTATATACACCAGAGACGAATTTTTTTTGATGACTCAACAGAAGTTCTCAAATAAAAGTTCTGGTTCCTTTACTAACAGACAATCCTCTCTGGATGCTTTTTCAGGAGCCTCCGGTTCTGAATTTGTTGAAATATTCGGTGTTAGATTTGTAAGTCGTGGAAGTGCCGTGAAAGTGCAGTCGGAAAAGGTCTCTTATAATCTGTCCTTATATCATTGAATCGTACCGAAAAATACAAAAACTTCACCACAATTTTTCAATTATTTGGCAGTACTCAGCAACCAGAGGCAACTTACCCTAAGTACATTTTGGAATCTCAAAACTGCATTCAAATAAATATTAATTTGATCAACCATATAACAATATCATTCAAATATTTTATATCATAAATATCATAAAAACAAATGCACGTACTTCGAACTAAAGTGAAATCAATGTTGCTTGTTTTCCATTAAGAATGATCTTACAGAAATAATCCTCATGACAATAACAGGAATTGTATGACATTGAAGAATTTTTGAAAACCATGAAGGGAGAACAAAAAGTAGGATAAGGCCAATTCTTCAACTAATATACTCGAAATAAAAATAAAAACAAGAACACCCTAATCATTTTATGTTGAAGCAGATGAATATTCAGAAAATGCAAGTACCAGGGAAAAAACTGTCTAATCAGATAATTTTTCATTGGTACTGCAAAAGTACTAAAAACTTCAGAATTCGTAACTTAGACAATCTTCATGGCTGTATACACAAAAAGCATAGTCTGAACTTTAGCACGGATATCGGGTATCGGATATCGACCCCGGCGCGATGATTAGAAGAAGAAGTAAGAGATTTCCAACTTATGTTATCCTTTAGGATAAATGAGGAAAATGCTTCGTTATCTCTTGTTACGTCATGCACAAGTATTTATTTAATGAATGCTTTTTAAAACTTGGGTGTGAGTTTGAAGATGTAACTTTGAGTGGTATGGAAGTATTAGTAATAGCTTTCACTTCCGCATACATAGACTCTTGATGATCATAGATGAAAGTATAATCTTCAAATACTCCAACTTCCTTGTGAAACACAGTTATTTTCATCTATGAGTAATACGTTGAATGTAACAATGAACATTACTCAAATTGATTATTTTAAATAATTGAAATAATTTGAAGCAGTTAATACCTAGGAAACAAAAACTTGGCTCAAAATTTTTGGTTTTGAATAATAATATTTTTTTATGTTGAATATTATGAAATATGATATGTAACTCCACAAAAATTTCAAAGGATCAGTTCAGGGAACTTACCTCACATGGTGGTGGTGCGCTTCTATAAGAAGGAACTATTTTAAACGTTACTGAACCCCTCGCCTCCCTCTGAAAAAGAAATATTCAATGAAATAACCAATATTGAATACATTTGGCGGCATTGCTATTTCAGTTTTGTAATAACATTAAATTAGTTGAAAGCCAGTTCAAGAGAAAATTTAATAACAATTTTTATTTATTGGAACAAGACAATTTTTCCATCGAGATCAATATCTATGATGAATAATATTTTGCTCTTCTTACAAATGTTACGAATTATTCTATTTACTTTTTTCTAAAAGTTATTATTTTCAACCATATCAGTCAATAACAATATATTTCTCAACATTTTAACGTAATCAGTATTCTCTTAAACCTTAATTAAATTGTAAACTGAAGGAGATAAATTTCATTTAGTATTAATATGTATGATGTACAATAAATCACTATTTGTTTGAATGTGGTTGGTTGACAATGTTTCGTGGTGCATTATATTAGTTCGGACTTCCATTGTCTAATATGATATACATTGATTTGAAATCCCTTGAAGAATCTGTAAAAAATAAAAAAGGATTAGCTGAAAAAACAATTATAATGAGTAGAAAAACTGAAATTACAAAGAAATAAAATACAAGCAACCACCCAAAATTAAAAAAATTGAACTATTAACACGAGATGAACGTTAAAAAATCATTAACAAGTAATGAAAATTAAAAATTAAAAGATTCAAAGCCAAGTTACTTCATGACGGTTCGATTGTTAGTGTCCATAATCGTCTTCGGGTGATAACTGGAGATGTGACTATTTATAGGTCATTCAAGTGCTTTCACCTATCCCCTCTTTCCATATGTTGCGTTTAGCTTGGCGTTTAGCTTGGCTAAATGCGTTGTTGGACAACATATATGCGGCTTCTTTGAATTTTCTCCTAAACCAGTGTTTCTCCTTGTGGATGATTTCAGCTTGAGACCACTTGATTTATGTTGATGAGTCCAAACTTGCTCTGCTATTCCTGATTTGCTGATTTCTCCTCGCTGTGTGTGTTTCTTATGCTCGGTAATGCGAACTTTCAATGGCCTCTTAGTTTCACCAATGTATGATTTTCCGCACTCGCACGGTGTTCGGTAAATGTAATTCTTGGAATCGCAGTCCGCGTTTGGTGGCCTGGTTTTCGAGAGGCTGCTACAGATAGTTTTCCCAGATCTGAAGCAGTTTCTGATGTTATACTTGGACCCAATTCTTCTTATCCTTTTTACAGATTCTTTCAGGAATTTCAAGTTAATTTATATCATATTAGACAATGGAAGTCCGAACTAATGAAATGCAATAAATCACTAACGTCTCCGTTCAAAAACTCTCATCATTCTTTGAAATCAAAAATACTGATGCTCCAACAAGAGTGATACTCTAAATCTAACACGATCCTTTTCTCAATCACCAAAAAAACAATACACTTCTCGACGCGCGTTCCAACAACCCAGAAGAAAACTTTTCTTTATCTTCTGAAGGCGCCAACTTAGTTGGTGAAACGCTCGTCGAGAAAAGTACCTATCGCAATTCTGGTGATTGGAAAAAGTGCTTGTATTGGATTTATTCTTAGTCAGAGGTTCCAATTTTACCTTTTATTACTTAGTGGTATTGTTAGATCAACACATTAACACTATAAGAATAATTCACAAGTTGGTGAAGCAAACTTGGTTGGTGGAACGCACATCGTGTATGGGAGCAATATTTCATTATTATGAAATGCCGTTTCACTTTTCATTATTTCAAACAATCATTCCTCAATTTATTCTCATAACAATTTATTCATTTCAATCAAATTAATTCATACATTTGCTGTTCACACTAGAAACGATTGTTCACAAAATTTGTTTTGTTTCATATGATTGATTGTTTTTCAATATTACATGAAACTATTTGCTCGATGAAAAATTGTGAACAGTTATATACTATTGAAGCATTATTTTTTGACAGTAACTTTTTGCCATATACCTGTCTTTCGATTATAAAAATATAATGAATTTGTTTATTGATAATAATAGCTACACGAATTGAAAGAAGTGTTGATAATTTCGCGCTGGCGTTAACCTTTGACACCTTTGACAACCTTTGAAACCTCGACACGTGTTTCGATCACCAAGTGATCATCTTCAAAAGTATTTTTAGTTTAATCTTCCTCTTGAAGATGATCACTTTGTGATCGAAAGACGTGTCGTGGTGTTAAAACAACGGTTTGGTATTGGGATAAAACTCCAGTACTATTCAATTGATTTGACACAAATTAATTGTTGACCGAAAACTAAAATGGTGTTTCATGCATAATCAACTGACACACAACGTTGATTTGAAGAAATAAATAAAAAACCTATATTTACTTCCTTTCGAGAAAATTATTATCCATACGAGAAAGTTTCATTATATTTCATAGAAAGGTTTAATAATTCAACCGCAAAATTGAAATTTTCATACTCACGAGAATTTTTTGTAAAGCATTAACGGATTGGTTGACGACAGGAATTCCATTAATTTCTCTAATTTCGTCCCCAACGTGAAGAGTGGCCTGGCGATGAATCATACCACCATGCATTATTCTTGCTACTATACATTTCCCATCTTCGTTCATTTTCAGTGTGATGCCCTGAAATGGTTGAAATACTTTTGAGAAAGGTGTGCTACGGAGTGTTACTTCAGGAACAAAATATATGAATTTGGAAGACCTTTGATATCAAGAGCATAAATGAAACAATTGAAAATGAAAATAGAACTGATGTTCATCAAATATTATAACACATAGAATCTTATAGCGTAGTCGTTGTAAGCAAAAAAAATAGGATACAAAGTTATTGCAGTTTAAAATATAGTTGGTTTGAGGAAGAAAGATGAAGGAACCAGCGAATGGGAGAAAAAAAATGAGTGTCCAAGTAAGTTGGCGGCTATGATTCACTGTGTCGGCTCTTTATGTACAGCCTATTCTCATTTTTGGATAGGCCTATTGGTTAGGTTTCAGAATTCATAATTAATTTTGCCTCAATAATTATTATTCAGGCAACTGATCCAGCATAAAGACTGCTATCTTTGTTAGGTATAACACGAAACTAAAGAAATGTAAAGAATAGTTTATGTAGTATAAAGGCTCTATCCGTTATTCTACATTTTCATTCATATGTTTTTTGAACTCGAATAATTTTCAGTGTGTTATTTCAAATTATTAGGTATATTTAAAAACTCGTTGGTTTTTTATGGTTGTATAATTCAAGTTATATGTGCATTGCAACATAATGTGAACAAAAATATTGTATACTTATTATTGTACAATTTACTATGGGTCTTGAAAAATTATAGTTACGTTTTCTCGTCTTGGACACATATCTTTTTTCTCCTGAACTCTTCATTTATTTCTACTGTGAGATATTTCACTTGGTTATAACGAAAAAATGTTCGTTAAGTGAGGATATATGTTTTTAATAAAAACTTAACGGATGAAAATACGAAATGTAAAGAAAAAATTACAATAAATGCTTGAAATGTTCCCATTCGGCTCTAGGCCTGCAACGTTGATTAAAATTTCTTTGGAGATTTCTAAATGCTGGTAGGTATTTTTTGCACCACACAGACACTCTCGTTAATGTAGGTATGAAAAAAATCAAGAGAATTGAAATCCGGAGAAAGCAGTGGAAACGAGATATTTTTTACCCATTCCTATCCAAAATCGATAGAGGTTTGTTAAAATGATCGTTCCCAGCAGGCAAAACGTGAGCCCTAGCTAACTGAAACTACATATTTCTGCGCAAGTTTAAAGACACCTCATCCAGCAAGCCTGTTAGATAACATTTTTTTCAGAAACCTTGAAAAGTTGCTCGTCCAATCTTTCAGATAACTCCAGTTATTATACCAGCCCATTAGTCAACACCAAACTGGTGCTGAAAGCAATCGTTCAATATTTATACCTTATAATAATTATGCATGTGTACAGTGAGATTGATTCATTCATTTCATTCATTCGTCCATCGACGGTTCAGCTCTTGATCTTCTCAACATTTCTTGTCTAAGTAAACTTGGTGCAATTGTGTCTCAAGTTATGTCCGTATGAAGTAGGATCTGACGTAGGTATACTACGTGCGGGTTCTTCAACATGAATTGAGTTTCATTTCCGGTGTGGTTTCTCAAGTATAAGCCCTTCACACGACGTAGAAGCGACACGACGTGTTGCTTTTACTAACTAACTGTGTTACATAATAACCTAAGAATTATTCAAAAAAACTTTGATGAATTACAAGTAGTGCTCAAAGGACTCAATTCATGGTGCAACTGAACCATTGCATTACATAACTTGAATTTTATACAGAGAAATGGAAAAAATATGATTCGAAAAGGAATTGGTCAGTAACTTTTTTAAAATCTTAAAGAAAGTAAAATTGTTTTTTTCATGGGCTGTACATGAACCATCAAAACTGAATCATGTATTTCTGTGGGGCCCAAATGAATAAATAAACTCTATACCTCCTAGGTAACCCAATTACACTTATCAGAATTCAGAACAAACAATGAGGTTAAATGTCCATCTAGTTTATGTTGAATATATGAATGATTCGAACTCATAAAATCAAAAGTTTTCAGTTCGTGTTCATTCACCTTGAATGAATCACCCAAAAAGAGCAAAATTATGAAAAAATCAAAATTGAATTTAAATATAAGTTTTTTTTGATTGGTTGATGTGGGTAGATTTTAATAATTCTAAACTATAAATCAAAATAATATTTGATCTACCGTAGTTTGTTACCGAATTATTTTTAGGATACACTGTATGTTTTACAGTGATACTTCAAACTGGTAATTATTCATTTTTGTGGTCGAAAGGTTTCCAAAGCTAACAGGAAGAGATATTTGGAGGAGTCCTATAACCGGAATTGCTAGAGTAATGAAAACCCCATTTCCAAGGATAATAGAGTGTTATGATATTAGCAAGGGTCGTGGCTGGGATATAACATGTCGTTTCCTGAAAGTCCTTTCCCAAGCTTAAATGAATGTATCACATTCATTCGTAGGAAAGAGATAAAAAGAGATTAGGAAACAATTGAATTTTTCATAATTGGATCAGTCTATTATACAGGTTTTGGAAATAGAGTCGCAATGGTTTGAAAACATTATAGGTGCTTTTTACGTTAGGAAAATTTTCATGAGTAATAATTTTGTTCTCTATATCTACCAGTATAAATCAATACAGAAATCTGTGAATTCGGCTCATAACAACTGTGATTGCAAGCAAGTTCTAATTAGATCTGTAATTTCTGAAAGATATTTTATGAAACTAGTGATCAAAATATAATGAATAACATAGAAAAGATAAACGAAAACGTATTGGAATAGTATACGAAATTACTACATTTTCCATTCAAGATTTTATGGGTAACATTTACCCCTGATGGAGACTTGAACCAAGAGATATAAATTATTTCTTGGGACTGGCCACTTCAAAAGTAAAATTGTCGTGTTTCTAAAGTAAAAGGTTTCATAATTGACAATTGACATTTATTCTTGTTGATGACAAAAAATTATGACATGTTCTAGTTCGACTGATTGGATCCACGACAGATCGAAACATTCGCTATGTGGTATTGGAATATAAATGCAATGTTTTTGGGCTCGGTGGTCATTCAGATGTCAGTGATCATGCCTACTTTTGAGGTCGTAAGGTTTTCGACGCTAAGAGATATTTAGAGTAGTGGTACAACCGGAATTCAAAATACAGAGTCGTAATAGAAGTTATGTAATTATGTTGAGTTAGGTAGTTTGGTGTGCTAATACCTGTACCTTGATTAGGTATATTATCAATAACATTCCTCGACCCTATTCTACCTGGCGTCATGTTTTTTGCTATTCCATGGAAATAAGGATCCATGGGAACGAGGCGGAAGGAACATGAAAGAAACTGTAGACTATGACAAATGGAAAAGTCGGCTGTGTCGGAGCACACACTAAGTGAAAGAAATCACAGGATTCTGTTTAAAAACACAAAACTCATTGCCCCCAACCAGAGATATCATAGCCGAGTGGCACGGGAAACAATAGAGATTCACAAACACACGGATAATTTCAACAGAAAAGAACCTCAACCAAATAAGGAATCCCATTCTGAGAAGTCATGCGAACAGCATGACGACAGGTAGAAAAGGATGGACGAATGCTATTGTCAATTTACTAAGTAAAGGTATTAAGCACATACAACTACTTGTTTTGTTAAAGACAAAACACGAGCACTACATGATAATCCTTAAGGCGCTCTTAGAGCGGTGTCTGTGCGAAAATAGTGATTCACATTGGATTTGAATAGCTGGAGATTGAATCCATTTGGAAAAACGTTCTCAGGAAGTTCATTCCACATAAACGCAGTTCTCCAGATACGTCTTACGCAGCCGTAATATCCAGTTATTCGATATCATTCAGAATGACGGGTGTGAAGTTATCCACATTCACAACGTACACTGAGAAAAAAATATCGCATTATTATTTTTTCATTTACCGACTCTGCACACCTACCATTTTTCAATATGACACGCTTATTGACTGATTTAATAAAAAAAAAGAACCGTCCTAGTTTATTAAACTGTCTGAAGGGTTGAAAATAGGATGGAAATATTTGAAAAAATCGTAACATGAAAAATCGACTTTGTACACCTACCAAATGGAGATATGTTATTCCTGATGATCTATTCGACAAGGAAAACTTCACGTGATAGTTTTCCAGGCCGTCTGAGGGAGTGAAAATGGGATGGAAAGTTGAAAAAATCGTATCTTTGAAAATTGAATGTGTACATCTATAAGTTTGAGATATATTATCTATCATGATCTTTTCGACAGAAAAAACTTCACGTCATAGTTTTCCAGGCCGTCTGAGGGAGTGAACATGGGCTGAAAATATCAAAAAATTTCTGAACATGAAAAATCGACTTTGTACACCTACAAAATTGAGATATGTTATTCTTGATGATATATTCGACAAGGAAAACTTCACGTTAAAACGGAAGAACAAAATAAAAAATAAATTCAGTGTCCCGGTAGATTGAGTTATCAATATGTTTAATATACTTTTCACTAGTATTTTGAACCCGCCAGATAGTTAGATTTTTGAATGTTTTTCACAATAATTCCATTTCCTCGGACGGCCCGGAAAACTAGTACGTGAAGTTTTTCTCGTCAAATCGGGTGTCAGGAATAGTATATCTCAATGTTTTAGGTGTACAAAGTCGATTTTTCATGTTCAGAAATTTTTTGATATTTTCAGCCCATGTTCACTCCCTCAGACGGCCTGGAAAACTATGACGTGAAGTTTTTTCTGTCGAAAAGATCATGATAGATAATATATCTCAAACTTATAGGTGTACACATTCGATTTTCGAAGATACGATTTTTTAAACTTTAAACCCCATTTTCACCCCCTCAGACGGCCTGGAAAACTATAAAATGAAGTTTTTATTGTCGAATAGATCATCACGCATAACATATCTCAATTTTTTAGGTGTACAAAATCGAATTTTCATTTTACGATTTTTTTAAATATTTCCACCCTATATTCACCCCTTCAGACAGTTCAAGGAACTAGGACGGTTTTTTTTAATTAAATCAGTCAATAAGCGTATC